GGGTCCCAAATGGCACTCCTATGGACGGACCCTGGTCAAAAGTAGTGCACTATATAGGGAATAGGGTACCTTTTGAGATGCAACCACAGATTTACAGCGAGAATATTTTTTTTTATTGAACTTTTATTTAGCTAGGCAAGTCAATTAAGAACAAATTATTATTTACAATGTCGGCCTACCAAGAGGCAAAATGCCTCCTGTGGGGACGGGGGATTAAAAAATACAAATGTAGGACAAAACATACATCACGACAAGAGAGACAACACAACACTACATAAAGAGAGACCTAAGACAACACAGCATGGCAGTAACACAATACGGCAGCAACACAACATGACAACAACATGGTAGAAGCACAACATGGTAGCAGCACAACATGGTAGCAGCACAACATGGTAGCAGCACAACATGGTAGCAGCACAACATGGCAGCAACACAACATGACAACAACATGGTAGCAGCACAACATGGCAGCAGCACAACATAGCAGCAGCACAACATGGTAGCAGCACAACATGGTAGCAGCACAACATGGTAGCAGCACAACATGGTAGCAGCACAACATAGCAGCAGCACAACATGGTAGCAGCACAACATGGTAGCAGCACAACATGGTAGCAGCACAACATGGCAGCAGCACAACATGACAGCAGCACAACATGGTAGCAGCACAACATGGTAGCAGCACAACATGGTAGCAGCACAACATGGTAGCAGCACAACATAGCAGCAGCACAACATAGCAGCAGCACAACATGGTAGCAGCACAACATGGTAGCAGCACAACATGGTAGCAGCACAACATAGCAGCAGCACAACATGGTAGCAGCACAACATGGTAGCAGCACAAACGTGGTACAAAACATTGTTAGGAACAGACAACAGCACAAAGAGCAAGAAGGTAGAGACAACAACACATCACGCGACGCAGCCACAAGTGTCAGTAAGAGTGTCCATGATTGAGTCTTTAAACGTAGAGACTGTCCAGTTTGAGTGTTTTTTGCAGCTCGTTCCAGTCGCTAGCTGCAGCGAACTGGAGCTTAACAAGAGTGAAGAAGAGCGACGCACAATGTTCTCGTGTTGCTGGAAGCCTCAAAAGGCAACCCCACAATGTTCTCGTGTTGCTGGAAGCCTCAATGCCAGGCCACTTCCTCCCAAAATGAGCACTTCCCTCAGAGATGAAGACAGTGAATAGGGTGCTATTTGGGACGAAGCCTCGATGTGTAGAGAACAAGTTCACACCAGCTCTGCCTCTGTACAGACCACAGGTATTTATAGAGACAGTAGTACATGTTGTTCATACCTCACAGTTCCCATGTAGTAGAAAAGGGGAAATTGAGGAACATAAAAAAATGACTGTCCAAATCAAATCAAACTTTATTGGTTGCATGCACATATTTAGCAGATGTTATTGTTGCATGCACATATTTAGCCAGATGTTATTGCGGGTGTAGCAAAATGCTTATGTTCCTAGCTCTAACAGCGCAGTATTATCCAACACAAAACAATAGACGCAAATCTAAAAAGAAAAAAGAATGGAATTAAGAAATACAGAAATATTAGGACGAGCAATGTCAGAGTCCGTAATATACACTGAACGAAAATATTAAACGCAACATGCAACAATTTTAAAGATTTTCGGAGTTACAGTTCATATAAGGAAATCAGTCAATTGAAATAAATTAATATGTGAAGCGCATGCTTCTCCAGCATGCCAGTGGCCAATCGAAGGTTAGCATTTTCCCACTGAAGTCGGTTATGACGCCGAACTGCAGTCAGGTCAAGACTGGTGTGGACCACGAGCACGCTGATGAGCTTCCCTGAGACGGATTCTGACAGTTTGTGCAGAAATCCTTCGGTTGTGCAAACCCACAGTTTCATCAGCTGTCCGGGTGGCTGGTCTCAGACGATCCCGCAGGTGAAGAAGCCGGATGTGGAGGTCCTGGGCTGGCGTGGTTACACATGGTCTGCAGTTGTGAGGCCGGTTGGTGTTACTGTCAAATTCTCTAAAAACGACATGGAGGTGGCTTATGGTAGAGAAATAAACATTCAATTCTCTGGCAACAGCTCTGGTGGAAATTCCTGCAGTCAGCATGCCAATTGCACGCTCCCTCAAAACTTGAGACGTCTGAGGCATTGTGTTGTGTGACAAAACTGCCCATTTTAGAGTGGCCTTTTATTGTCCCGAGCACAAGGTGCACCTGTGTAATGATCATGCTGTTTAATCAGCTTCTTGATATGCCACACCGGTCAGGTGGATGGATTACCTTGGCAAAAGGAGAAATGCTCACTAACAGGGATGTAAACAAATTTGTGCAAAACATTTGAGAGAAATAAGCTTTTTGTTCGTATTGAAGATTTCTGGGATCGTTTATTTCAGCTCATGAAACATGGGACCAACACTTTACATGTTGCGTTTATGTTTTTGTTCAGTATAAATATATACTTATATGATGGGATGTATAGACATTATGGACAGTATATGGATAGAATATATAGTATATCTGTAGAATATGTGGATAGAATAGTATAATGTACAGCAATAGTTAAATAGGATGGCCTTGACTAGAATACAGTATATACAGTGGGGAGAACAAGTATTTGATACACTGCCGATTTTGCAGGTTTTCCTACTTACAAAGCATGTAGAGGTCTGTAATTTTTTATCATAGGTACACTTCAACTGTGAGAGACGGAATCTAAAACAAAAATCCAGAAAATCACATTGTATTATTTTTAAGTAATTAATTTGCATTTTATTGCAAATAATGTATTATTTATTTATCATAGCAAGCTGCTCTATCCACAGTAATTGGTTTAATGTAAAAAATAAATAAATAAAAAAGTGATTTCAGAAGTTTAAAAAGGAACAGAAAGGATTGATATAAACTGGGGTTTTTTTTACCGTTCAGAACTTTATTTTGCAGGTCGGAAAAGTGGAACGGAACGAAAAAAATAATGGTTCTGTTTCAGAACGAAACGATTGGAAAATCATTTAGGTTCCAACCCCTGCTTTGCACTGTATATTTTATTGTGTATTTGACCTTTTATTGATGTGAATTGTTTGAATGCCTTGTCTATACTGCATTATGTGCAGTGATATGAATTGTCTTTGCCAGTTCATCGATTGTCATGTCATTACATACAGTGCATTCGGAAAGTATTCAGACCACTTGACTTTTTGTTACGTTACAGCCTTATTCTAAAATTGATTAAATTATTTTTTTTCCCCCCTCATCAATCTTCACACAATACCCCATAATGACAAAGCGAAAAAGTTATAATTTTTAGCAAATTAATTTTTACAAAAAATACAGACATACCTTATCTAGAGGAGAATTCAGATCATTTGGTAGGAGACCCGAAATTGAGCTCAGGTGCGTCCTGTTTCCATTGATCATCCTTCAGATGTTTCTACAACTTGATTGGAGTCCACCTGTGGTCAATTCAATTGATTGGACATGATTTGGAAAGGCACACACCTGTCTATATAAAGGTCCCACAGTTGTCAGAGCATGTCAGAGCAAAAACCAAGCCATGAGGTCGAAAGAATTGTCCGTAGAGCTCCGAGACAGGATTGTGTCGAGGCACAGATCTGGGGAAGGGTACCAAAACATTTCTGCAGCATTAAAGGTCCCCAAGAACACAGTGGCCTCCATCATTCTTAAATGGAAGAAGTTTGGAACCACCAAGACTCTTCCTAGAGCTGGCCGCCCGGCCAAACTGAGCAATCTGGGGAGAAGGGCCTTGGTCAGGGAGGTGACCAAGAACGCGATGGTCACACTGACACCGCTCCAGAGTTCCTCTGTGGAGATGGGAGAACCTTCCAGAAGGACAACCATCTCTGCAGCACTCCACTAATCTGGCCTTTATGGTAGAGTGTTCAGAAGCCACTCCTCAGTATAAGGCACAGTTTGCCAAAAGGCACCTAAAGACTCTCAGACAATGAGAAACAAGATTCTCTGGACTGATGAAACCAATAACTCACCAAAGATGTTCAATCGGGTTCAAGTCCGTGCTCTGGCTGGATCACTCAAGGACATTCAGAGACTTGTCCCGAAGCCACTCCTGCGTTATCTTGGCTGTGTGCTTACGGTCATTGTCCTGTTGGAAGGTGAACCTTCGCCCCAGTCTGAGGTCCTGAGCAGGTTTCATCATGGATCTCTCTGTACTTTGCGGCGTTCATCTTTCCCTTGATCCTGACTAGTCTACCAGTCCCTGCCGCTGAAAAACATCCCCACAGCATGATGCTGCCACCACCATGCTTCACCGTAGGGATGGTGCCAGGTTTCCTCCAGACGTGACACTTTGCATTCAGGCCATCTTGTGAATTGAAATAATGAGAAATAAAGTTGATTTTGGTTGCATATGGCCTCCATTAGACACCACTGGTTATTGTACTAAGATTTATGAAGTCATGTAGCTACTAGCTAGCAGAAACTCTAAGACAGATAAATTGGTATTACTGAGTAGCTAGATACAAATAATCTAATAACAAGAAACAATTTGATTTGTTCAGAGCGCAATTATAAAACAACAAAAGTTATCAATAGCTTATAGTCTTATTTTGTTACTGTGTGCTGGGACAAGCTAGAATAATGTCCCTTACGCGATAGACAGCTGTCTATTCGGTCCAGCAGTTATGGGCCGCTTCTTCCCGGTATGTCTCTATAACTCCTGGATTGATGAGCGTTGAAAAGTCCTTGTGGTTTGTTACATGGTTTCTGGGTGCGCTGCTTTCTTCAACGTCGATTTCAAGCCCCCCCAATCGATGGCAGTAACATGTCCCACTCTGCGCAGCACAAACATTCATCGTTGGTTGCCATGGTTGACATGCCCCTCAGTCCCCCTCAGACCTGGCTCTCGCCACCGCTCCTGGTAGCTCCTCTCCCAGTCCCCCTCAGACCTGGCTCTCGCCACCGCTCCTGGTAGCTCGTCTCCCAGTCCCCCTCAGACCTGGCTCTCGCCACCGCTCCTGGTAGCTCGTTTCCCAGTCCCCCTCAGACCTGGCTCTCGCCACCGCTCCTGGTAGCTCGTCTCCCAGTCCCCCTCAGACCTGGCTCTCGCCACCGCTCCTGGTAGCTCCTCTCCCAGTCCCCCTCAGACCTGGCTCTCGCCACCGCTCCTGGTAGCTCGTCTCCCAGCGCCGCTGATTCAGCCTTCCTCAGCATCCAACTGCACAAGTTCTCCTCAGTACATTCTGGCTCTAATAAATATGGCTCTGAATAAAAATGGCTCTTCTACCTCAAAGTCTGACATGATTTATCAAATGTTATGATTATTTGCCAATAAGCAAGCAAGCTAGCTACTTTAACTAATACAGTAGGCTGGCTGCCTCCCGGGAGTTTGTTTACATTTTTACATTTTAGTCATTTAGCAGACGCTCTTATCCAGAGCGACTTACAGTAAGTAGTGAGTGCATATATTTTCATACTGGCCCCCCCCGTGGGAATCAAACCCACAACCCTGGCGTTGCAAGCGGCATGCTCTACCAACTGAGCTACACGGGACATTTACAAAACCACACCGAGTCTCACAGAGCACAGGCGGAACCCAAAGTAGTCCATAAATGAGGAAGTTGATAGAATCTAATTTCTTACAATTGTCAGTAAAATGAACACATTTATAAAATACTGATTACTATGTATAGCTTTGTAAGACTATAAATGACCAACCACCCAGCTTTAGAATAGATATAAGTTCTATTTCCCTGCTTTTGAGGGGAGCTGGCTAGTAGATACCCATAGACTTCCAGCAACTGCGCTAAGATGTCGATATGCTACCTTCAACTTCCTTCAAACAGGACGCAGAGACATAAAAATGGTATCCATGAGTTCGTCTGACTCTAAATAGCTCTACTACTACTACTACTACTACTACTACTACTACTACTACTACTACTACTACTACTACTACCACCTAACTACTAATCTACTACTACTACTCACTACTACTACTACTACTACTACTACTACTACTACTGCTACTACTACACTACTACTACTACTACTTACTACTACTACTAACTACTACTACTAATACCGCTACTACCTACACTTTCTACTACTACTACTACTACCTACTGCTACCACTGACTACCACTACTACTACTACTACTTACTGTACTACTACTCTGACCTACTACTTACTACTACTACACTACTACTACTACTACTACTACTGTACTACTACTACTACTACTACTACTACTATCTACTACTACTATGCTAACACTACTGATACTACTATACTACTACTACTACTGATACTACTACTACTACGATACTACTACTATACTACTACTACCACTACTACTACTACTACTACCTACTACTAACACTACACTACTATACTACTGACTACTACTACTACTGATCTACTACCTACTTACTGATCTACTACTACTACTTACTATATGATACTACTAATACTACAACTACTATACACTACTATACTTACTAACTACTACATACTGACCTACTACTACTATACTACTAACTACCTACTACTACTGATAGCTACTACTTACTACTACTACTACTACTACTCTCTACTACTATAACTTACTACTACTGATACTACTTACTACTGACTACTACTACATACTATATACTACTACAACTACTACTAACTACTACTACTACTACTACTTGATACTGATACTATACTAACTACTGATCTACTATATACTACTACTACTACTATACTACTACTACTCTACTACTACTGATACTACTACTACTATACTACTATACTACTACTACTACTGATACTACTTACTACTACTCATACTATACTATACTATACTACTGATACTACTACTACACTACAAATATCTGACTTACTACTACTACTACTACTACTACTACTACTATACTACTACTACGACTACGACTACTACTACTACTACTACTATCTACTACTCAATATACTATACTACTATACTCTACTACTAACTACTACTACTACTTACTACTACCTGTACTACTACTACACTACTACTACTACACATACTACAACTCTACCAACTACTACTAACTTACTGACTACTACTACTACTATACTACTACTACATACTACTACTACTTACTACTACTGACTAACTACTACTATACTACTCTACTGCTACTACACTACTACTACTACTACTACTACGATCTACTAACTACATTCTAACTACTACTGTACTAACCTATCTACTAATACTATGTCTACTACTACTATATATACTACGCACTACTACATACTGACTACTACTTACTGCTGCTTACACTGCTACTACTACTATACTAACAACTACTGATCTACATACTCACTACTGAACTACTATATTAGCACATCACTGATACTACTACTATATACTACTTACTATACTTCATGATCACTACATACCTAACTACTATACATCCTACTACATACTACTACTACTCTACTAACTTACTACTGATTACTAATACTACTCTAACTATATACACTACTACTATACATCAACTACTAACTTACACTATACTACTATACTACTTACTAATACTACTATATATACACTACTGACTACACTACTACTAGTATACTAACTGAGACTTCTACTACTACTGATACTATGGATAACACTATATACATTACTATATACACTACTACTGATTATACTACTACTAACTGATCTAATGACTACCTAGTATACTGATTATACTTACACACATACTACTTCTTATAATATACATATAAACACGATACTACCTTATCTCTATCTGATTACTCTATACACACTAATACAAACTACTATATATACTTACACGAATCTGATACTAAAATTGATTACTATATAACTATACTATGTACATATATACACTGATACTACTACTAATTAACTTCTACTTATACCACAACTTACTGATTACCTACATAACTATTAATTAAACATGAATAGCACACAACTCTGCTACTATAACCTAATAAATGATCTAATAAATCAATATTGATCACACTACACCTTGCTAAAATATGTACCTACACTAACACTTATAAGCGAGCGGCACAGATCCTAGTACTTGTCCCATATCACTGTAAATATTTTTAAACACCATAAAACTAATCATCTTCCAAGACCCATGTTATAATCTGGTAACACTAAAACTTTAGAAACTGTATACCAAATTGCCTACTACATGTTTGACCTTAAAAATTATGCAACCCGCAGAATCTTTACAGAAATTTCCAGATAACTTTGGGTACATTCGAAGAAGATTGTGATGCCAAACTTCACAACTGGAGTACGTTATTGGTCAATTTTTTTTTTTTTTGTTACAACTGACGCCATCTTTGTGAATTCAATAATGAGAATAAGTGATTTTCGGTTGCATATTGGCATGGCAAGACACAGGTATTTCTAGCTTACTATGAAGTATGAACATAAGCTAGCTAGCAGAAACTTTTAGACAGATCTGCTCTATAGTTGAGCAGGCAACAGGGGGAACTTTTCCTAGGCTTACTATGGAGTTGAACCACTAAGCCCGAGTTAACATGTATTTAAAATGTTATAAGATGCAGAAAAGCCACACAAAACACACATCTCTCATCATTTCCATTTAACCTTTAATCATAAAAGGTGAGTCTAAAACAAACTCTTCTTAAAGAGAGACCTGTCATCAACACCAACAGTAGTATGCCTAGCCCGGTCCCACATCGGTTTGTGCTGTCTAGCAAACTCCTATGGTCACCGTCACACCAATGACCACCATAGGAGGTGGCAAGCCAGCACTAACAGATGAGGGACAAGGCTAGGGAGGGACCACCCAGTAGGGACCCTTCTTTACTTCAATGACACTAGGATAGTTAATCAGCTGGTGTTTATCTGGGTGGCAGGCTGGAGGCACGAAACCCCTTTTGGAGGTAATCCCACTCATCTGGGTCACAGTGAAACGCCGGTCCAAGACTCCCATCTTCCCGAAACGATCCCATGGCTTCTTCAGACCAGTTTACAACATGCTTATGGTATAGCACACCCTTCCAACACATCAGGGCTTAATGGTCTTAACAGAGAATTCTAGATTTAGTATTTTTACCAAATTGCCGCTCACCTACACTCAGTCTTATGAAAACATTGTTTTCCCTTAAATATGGGGTGCAACATTATATGCTTAATGTCCTCTTTGGTTAGGATCCTTAACAGAAATTCTCAATGAGTGAGTACTTTTCACTCATAAGTGGAAAGAAGAATTGTAGGTAGATCCAACTCACCTGGTTCCAGTTTAATAATCTTAACAGCGGCAAGCTCTCCTGTTTGGATGTTTCGAGCCTGAAAGAGACAATAAAACATTTCAGAACACTGCTTGGAGATCGGGGAGCCAGTCAATGTTGGGGATCGGGGAGCCGGTCAATGTTGGGGATCTGGGAGCCAGTCAATGTTGGGGATCGGGGAGCCAGTCAATGTTGGTGATCGGGGAGCCAGTCAATGTTGGTGAGTGGAGAGTGTAAAAATGTTTGCATAATATCATGAATACCCTCGTTATCAGCTAGTGTATTTTAGGACTAGTGAAATTGTCCTACTGTGGCATTAGTCACCAGTCTTGCCTAGTTCAGATCTGGGCATCACATAACATATGCCATTCAGCAGACGCTTTTAACGAAAGCGACTTAGTCATGCAGTGCATAACGTACTTATTTACAGGTGGCCCCGGGAATCAAACTCTCTATCCTGGCATTGCAAGCATCATGCTATACCATCTGAGCCATGTCCTGTCCAGAGCCCACCACACACTGCCTCACAATGAACAGATCTCTCTCTAAATTAAGTTTGCAGATTACAACAAATCAGTCCAGGCTGCCAAAGGAATATCGTTGGTTTTATCTTCATTACTCAGTCCCTCTGGGATTTTGCGATGGGAACATATTTAGCTAAAATCAATAATTCTCTGCATATTATGCGAGGGCTTAAACATTTGACCAAATCGCTGCACTATTATCGCATAAACCAGTCAAATCATTGCAATATTACCACATTTAAAACGGTCTGATCGCCGCACTACAAAAAGAGGAGTTCGCAATTTCACCCTATCACTCAAGCAACACATCAACAAACTTTCCCTCGTCGGCGCAAAATGTCAGAATGGACGCAGCAAAATCAAGCCCGCAACTAACCTATCAGAATAAAACGTCACAAAATCCTGGGGGGGGGACTGATTACTAATTTACTATTTACAGACTCAGGACAATTAACAGACAGAGATACTGTAGATGAAAGTCCAGGGATAGAATTTAAGGATTTTGGGCACTGGCCAAAAGGGCTAGCAGATTACAATGTTTACTAGCCCGGGTCCAAAAATCTGTGCTATGATGCGGTATTTGAAAATACCAAATTTCACTATCTGGCAGGCTAGATGGGCATATTTTCTACTAGCCTGGTCTGAAAAGTACTAGCCTTGGGCTAGCGAGCCATCTTTAATTTCCATCCCTGGATGACACATATCAAAACTGTTACTCAAAAGGAGACAAGACAAGAGCTGAGTAACAAAACAACCAATCAAACTCAAGCTCCATGGGTTTACTTCCTAGTTGACACCTCACTCAGGTTTTACAAATGGGTCTCAAAACCCATCTGTGCACTGCAGCAGACCAAAAGGCATGGTTAGGGGAGGACCTTTCAAATCTGAAGTATTTCCGCTGTCAGTACAGCAAAGAACACTCCTGTTCTGGGCGCATGTTTATACAAGGACCTGATCATATTTCACTCTGCAGCCTTGCTGCCACAGTCCTGCCTGTGCCTGGGGTGGGATTTTTATTTATTTATTTTACCTTTATTTAACTAGGCAAGTCAGTTAAGAACAAATTCTTAATTACAATGACGGCCTACACCGGCCTAACCCGGACGACGCTGGGCCAATTGTGCGCCGCCCTAGGGGACTCCCAATCCCGGCCGGTTGTGATACAGCCTGGAATCGAACCAGGGGTGGGGCTCTGTAAGTGAACGCCTCAAGCAACTGAGATGCAGTGCCATTAGAACCGCTGCGCCATCGGGAAGCCCACGATACAGTTCTGTTCCAAAACTACCAATTCTTACGAACACTGTGGACAAAGTTTTCTGGGGTAGGCCTGTGTCTGGGGTTTGGAATGGCCAGCCTTGCGTGTTCATGGCTCTCTCTGGGAGAACACCAGGCACTGCATTCCACCAGTGGCCCTGCCTCGGCTGCCTGTGTCTGTGGTGGGACTGGCCTGTGTCTGGGTGGCCTGTGTCTGGGTTGTCTGGTGGGCTGCGTCGTGTGGTGGGCCTGTGTCCTGTGTCTGGGGTGGGCTGTGTCGGGGTGGCCTGTGTCGGGTGGGCCTGTGTCTGGGGTGGCCTGGCCTGCTGTCTGGGGTGGGCCTGGCCTGCGTCTGGGTGGGACTGGCCTGTGTGGCAGTGTCTGGGTGCATTGCCTTCTGTGGTGGATGGCTGGGGTGGCGTGACTGTGTCTGTGGTGGTCGTGTCTGGGTGGGCCTGGTCTGGGTGGCCTGCGTCTGTGTGGGACACTGGGTCCGTGTGGGTGGCCGTGTCTGGGGTGGGACTCCTAAGAATCTGTGAGCGGGAGCCTAGCACATAAAAATCCAAATGGGTAGCCTAGTCATCCATAACAATCCAAATGGGTAGCCTAGTCATCCATAACAATCCAAATGGGTAGCCTAGTCATCCATAACAATCCAAATGGGTAGCCTAGTCATCCATAACAATCCAAATGGGTAGCCTAGTCATCCATAACAATCCAAATGGGTAGCCTAGTCATCCATAACAATCCAAATGGGTAGCCTAGTCATCCATAACAATCCAAATGGGTAGCCTAGTCATCCATAACAATCCAAATGGGTAGCCTAGTCATCCATAACAATCCAAATGGGTAGCCTAGTCATCCATAACAATCCAAATGGGTAGCCTAGTCATCCATAACAATCCAAATGGGTAGCCTAGTCATCCATAACAATCCAAATGGGTAGCCTAGTCATCCATAACAATCCAAATGGGTAGCCTAGTCATCCATAACAATCCAAATGGGTAGCCTAGTCATCCATAACAATCCAAATGGGTAGCCTAGTCATCCATAACAATCCAAATGGGTAGCCTAGTCATCCATAACAATCCAAATGGGTAGCCTAGTCATCCATAACAATCCAAATGGGTAGCCTAGTCATCCTAACAATCCAAATGGGTAGCCTAGTCATCCATAACAATCCAAATGGGTAGCCTAGTCATCCATAACAATCCAAATGGGTAGCCTAGTCATCCATAACAAATGACCAACACCCGTGAACACAACGGTCTGTGTGATCCTGATTTTGACCTTGGGAACAGTCTAGTTTGTTATGCTCAATTCCAATCCAATTCAGAGAAATTCCAAATGTATCGTTGCTTTGTTATGTGAACGCACACCACAGGGTCTTTGGCTCTTCACATAACTTTGCCAGGACAATGGGAAATTGTAGCTCTCCCTTTCCCTACCAATACATCTTACTTCCACCACGTTCCAATAGAGAATAAGAGAGGTAGGTTGTAACAGCACGATGCTTTATCACATGGCTTCTACAGGGTTACAGATGCATCCTTTAAAGAAATAGTCTTAGTCCACAGTGGGGAAACTAAAACGAACCTCATGAAAAATGAACCGAGTTAAGTTTTTCTTCTGACAGCAAGTGCGTCCAAATATTTGAAGATTTGCTCCCTGAATAGCAGACTATGTAGAGGTAGGTACTCCTTTAACTGGCCCATCAGAAAGCCCATCTGATTCTTCCTCCACAGTTTTAAGCAGGGTACTGTGTTTCATCACTACCGTAGAATGATTGACTGTACATCAAGTATTATGGAATGTTCTAACGACTTCATCAGTACACATGAAAACCTTCAGGAAAAAAAAGATATTGAATCTCAGTCCGTCTGCGTAGCAAGAAATAAAATAGGCCTAAGACCTCTACCAACAATGATTAATTATTTATGCATAGTCACTTTAACCTCTGCCCACATGTACATATTACTTCAACTACCTCAACTAGCCGGTGCCCCCGCACATTGACTCTGCACCGGTACCCCCCTGTATATATAGCCTCCCTACTGTTATTTTATTTTTTTTCTGCTATTTTTTTTCCTCAACACTTTTTTGTTGTTGTTTTATTTAACTTTTTTTTATTAAAAATAAATGCACTGTTGGTTAAGGGCTGTCAGTAAGCATTTCACTGTAATGTCTGCACCTGTTGTATTCGGCGCATGTGGCCAATAAAATGTGATTTGATTTGAACGATGTTGCTGATTAGGGGCAATTCCAAGGTAACGGAATGATGCCGAGACTCGGATGTTTCACTTGAAAATTGATGTCAAACAAAATACAATGATTGCAAAGATAAAAGGTGCTACACATATGATACATTTTTATTTTTACATTGTATTTACAGAAAATGTCCATAATATACAGCGCCTTCAGAAAGTATTCATACCTCTTGACTTATTCCACATTTTGTTGTGTTACAGCCTGAATTCAAAATGGATTAAAATATTTTTTATAAATCCTCAACCATCTACACACAATAGCCCAAAATGACCAAGTGAAAACATGACAAAGTGAAGCCATTTTCAAGTCTTGCCATTGATTTTCAAGCAGATTTAAGTCAAAACTGTAACTAGGCCACTCAGGAACATTCACTGTCTTCTTGGTAAGCAACCAGTGTATATTTGGTCTTGTGTTTTAGATTATTGTCCTGCTGAAAAGTTAATTTTTCTCCCAGTGTCTATTGGAAAGCAGACTGAACCAGGTTTTCCTCTAGGATTTTTCCTGTGCTTAGCTCTCTCCTGGTCCTTGCCGATGACAAGCATACCCATAACACGATATAGCCTCCACCATGCTTGAAAATATGAAGAGTGGTATTCAGTGATGTGTTGTGTTGGATTTCCCCCAAACGTAACGCTTTGTATTCAGGACATAAAGTTAATTTCTTTGCCACATCTTTTGCAGTTTTACTTTAGTGCCTTATTGCAAACAGGATGCATGTTTTGGAATATTTTAATCTGTACAGGCTTCCTTTTTTTCCACTCTGTCATTTAAGTTAGTATTGTGGAGTAGCTACGATGTTGTTGATCCCTCCTCAGTTCTCCTATTACAGTCATTAAACTCTGTAACTGTTTTGAAGACACCATTGGCCTCATGGTGAAATCCCTGAGCGATTTCCTTCCTCTTTGGCAACTGAGTTAGGAAGGACGCCTGTATCTTTGTAGTGACTGGGTGTATTGATACACCATCCAAAGTGGAATTAATAACGTCATGCTCAAAGCTATATTCAATGTCTGCTTTTCTTTTACCCATATACCAATAGGTGCCCTTCTTTGTGAGGCATTGGAAAACCTCCTGTGGACTTTATGGTTGAATCTGTGTTTGAAATTCACTGCTCGACTGAGGGACATTACAGATAATTGTATGTGTGTGGTACAGAGATGAGGTAGTCATTCAAAAATCATGTTAAACACTATTATTGCACACAGAGTGAGTCCATGCAATTTATCATGTGACTTGTTAAGCAAATACACTATATATACACAAAAGTATGTGGACAACCCTTCAAATGAGTGGATTCGGCTATTTCAGCCACACCGTTGCTGACAGGTGTATAAAATCGAGCACACAGCCATGCAATCTCCATAGACACAAATTGGCAGTAGAATGGCCTTACTGAAGAGCTCAGTGACTTTCAACATGGCACCGTCATAGGATGCCACCTTTCCAACAAGTCAGTTCGTCAAATTTCTGCCCTGCTAGAGCTGCCCCGGTCAACTGTAAGTGCTGTTATTGTGAAGTGGAAACTTCTAGGAGCAACAACGGCTCAGCCGCGAAGTGGTAGGCCACACAAGATCACAGAACGGGACTGCTGAGTGCTGAAGAGAGTACAAATCTGTCCTCGGTTGCAAAACTCACTAACAAGTTCCAAACTGCCTCTGGAAGCAATGTCAGCACAAGAACTGTTCATCAGGAGCTTCATGAAATGGGTTTCCATGGCAGAGCAGCCGCACACAAGCCTAAGATCACCATGCGCAATGCCAAGCGTCGGTTGGAGTGGTATAAAGCTCGCCGCCATTGGACTCTGGAGCAGAGGAAACGTGTTCTTTGGAGTGATGAATCATGCTTCACCATCTGGCAATCCGACTGACAAATCTGGGTTTGGCGGATGCCAGAAGAACACATCTGCCCCAATGCATAGTGCCAACGGTAAAGTTTGGTGGAGGAGGAATAATTGTCTGGGGCTGTTTTTCATGGTTTGGGCTAGGCCCCTTAGTTCCAGTGAAGGGAAATATTAACGCTACAGCATACAATGACATTCTAGACAAAATATAATTCACAGCGATTTAGATGGTTCAATGAATTCCTACTCTATTCAGTGCTTGTTTTCTCACAAACTAAAATTGAGCGAACAGTGTAGAATTTTTCCAACCAGGAAATGACAGAGCGATTTCCACTAGATAACTCAGCAACAAAGTCAGAACAGCTTTCCCATTTTGACAACAGATGCCTCTCCGGTGGAAGAAATAAATAGGTAATATCACAGGCAATCACAACACTGGTAGGTAAGTAATACCGTGAAACACTATCATTCCACTATTACTGCAGATAAATTATGGACATTTTCTGAAATTACAATGCTAATTTTTATTTTTATATCCTATGTGTAGCACTTTTAAACAAACCATACAACTCTATGCAAATGTACTTGAAGAACAGTGCAGATGCAAAGTTTGGTAACAGAATGACAGTTTGTGCTGTTTGTGCCGTCGTTCTGTTACAGAGGGTAGTGCGTACGGCCCAGTACATCACTGGGGCCAAGCTTCCTGCCATCCAGGACCTCTATACCAGGCGGTGTCAGAGGAAGGCCCTCAAAATTGTCAAAGACTCCAGCCACCCTAGTCATAGACTGTTCTCTCTGCTACCGCACGGCAAGCGGTACCGGAGTGCCAAGTCTAGGTCCAAAAGACTTCTCAACAGCTTCTACCCCCAAGCCATAAGACTCCTGAACAGCTAATCATGGCTACCCGGACAATTTGCACTGCCCCCCCACCCCATCCTTTTACGCTGCTGCTACTCTGTTAATTATTTATGCATATTCACTTTAACTCTACCCACATGTACATATTACTTCAACTACCTTAACTAGCCGGTGCCCCCGCACATTGACTCTGCACCGGTACCCCCCCTGTATATATAGCCTCCCTACTGTCACTTTATTTTACTTCTGCTCTTTTTTTCTCAACACTGTTTTTGTTGTTGTTTTATTTTTACTTTTTTGTTTAAAATAAATGCACTGTTGGTTAAGGGCTGTAAGTAAGCATTTCACTGTAATGTCTGCACCTGTTGTATTCGGCGCATGTGGCCAATAAAATTTGATTTGATTTGATTTGATACCTCAGTGGAAATCGTGGAATTGCCCTTAGGCTACATCATACATGACTGAAGCTGGCCCATAAAGTAGGATACATCCTACATGACTGAAGCTGGCCCATAAAGTAGGATACATCCTCCAGCTCCTGTATTTGGAACCCAAGACGCTGAAGTGATAATGTGGAGGACAGATGCTTGACTCAGCAGCAGAAGTAAATGAAAGCCTTGATTGGTAGATGATAGATAAATATAGATAAAATGGTTGACTCCCCACTCTAAATAAAAGCCTTTACAAAATGTCACAAGTCAGCTCTCTAAAAACAGGCAAAAGCGACTTGCGGAGAGAGGATAAACCTGAACACATGCTTGATAACTAGGCCCTAGGTATCCATTTCCCATTGACGTTAAGCTGCACAAAGAGTTTACACAGCTAAAACACTTTTTATGTCATGAAGATGTGCATTCACTGTAGTTTCCATTCAACTCTATTCTAAAACTCAAATGCCCCTGTAACACAAACCTATGCAATTGACAACACAGTTCTGTGCTTGAATTCAAGGGTAAGCTAAACAGCATACACACAATAACTTTCCTCACATCTTGGCCATAAAAGAAAAACACTTTGAGAGAGAATTGAACTATGGGCCTGGGGGAGAGAAATACAACCTTGGCAACTTCACGTCAGTCCTCTCGCCAGGTTTCAATAGGATTTAGCTATCCTAGATTACGGAGACGTAATTTATAGATCGGCAGGTAAGGGTGCTCTCGAGCGGCTAGATGTTCTTTACCATTCAGCCATCAGATTTGCCCCCAATGCTCCTTATAGGACACATCACTGCACTCTACACTCCTCTGTAAACTGGTCATCTCTGTATACCCTGTCGCAAGACCCACTGGTTGATGCTTATTCATCAAACCCTCTTAGGCCTCACTCCCCCCTATCTGAGATACATTCTGCAGCCCTCATCCTCCACATACAACACCCGTTCTGCCAGTCACATTCTGTTAAAGGTCCCCAAAGCACACACACACATCCCTGGGTCGCTCCTCTTTTCAGTTTGCTGCAGCTAGCGACTGGAACGAGCTGCAAAGAACACTCAAACTGGAGAGTTTTATCTCCATCTCTTCATTCAAAGACTCAATCATGGACACTCTTACTGACAGTTGTGGCTGCTTCGCGTGATGTATTGTTGTCTCTACCTTCTTGCCTTTGTGCTGTTGTCTGTGCCCAATAATGTTTGTACCATGTTTTGTTCTGCTACCATGTTGTGCTGCTGCCATGTTGTGTTGCTACTGTGTTGTTGTCATGTTGTGTTGCTACCATGCTGTGTTGTCATGTGTTTCTGCCATGCTAGGAGGTTGTCTTAGGTCTCTCCACCCCCCCCCACACAAAAAAAAAATACTAATAATACAAATTTAGAAAAATACATTTAAAAAAAAAATACTAATAAACATTGTAAAGTGGTTAACCCACTGGCTATAAGGTGAATGCACCAATTTGTAAGTCGCTCTGGATAACAGCTTCTGCTAAATGCCGTAAATGTAAACGTAAATGTTTATGTAGGGGTGTGGTGTCTCTCTTGTCATGATGTGTGTTTTGTCCTATATTTTATTTATTTATTTATTTATTTTTAATCCCAGCCACCGCAGGAGCCTTCATTGTAAATACGAAAAAATAAATAAAGTATAGAGCACAGGGATATCGTTCCTCCCAACAGGTGGGGTGCTTGTTTGGTTAGACACTGATCTAAATTCGGAACAGCCAAAGCTGCTACTGCTGTTCATTCAGATGGACGAAAAATACCTTGTATACGTCTCCATATGTGCCGCTCCCAACTCGTTGAATAAGCTCGAAATCCTGCTGTGGGTTTTTTCTTTGAATTTCTCCACTAGGTCTAGGAAATATATCCATGACAGATAGCTAAATGGCTGGATAGTTTATCAACAACTAGCTACTCCACTTTTCATTTAGCAAGTTAGCTTGTGCAAATACACGTCAGTATCATTCGGTGAGGATTACTTCAAGTGGTAATAACTTGTTTATTCTCTAAAAGTGCTGCTTCCAAGTCTGACTTCTGGTCCATTTCCTGCCGGTGAGAGAGAGTAGAAAATAATAGTTAGTAAATCTTCAGCTAATAGGTAGCTACAAACAACCACCGACACGATTTCAGAAGTCATTCAAGAATCAACATATTTGCTGGCTGGCCGGCTAACGTTAGATTGAGGCTAGCTAACTAACCTGCAAGCTAACTAGTTAGCTACGAAAGAGTTAGCAGATAAACAATGGACTGTTCATTGAATTTAGCTATATAAACAAAATTGTTAACCCTCTGTAACGTTAGAGTAAGTCAAGTTAGCTACTTACACTGTAGCTAGCTAGCTAGATAACTACCAGGACGATGTTTTTCAAACGTAGTTAATTTACTTAGGTAATTATCTAAAGCTAACGTACAGTAGCTAGCTAGCCAAGTTAGCTAGTATGCTAAGTGGCTAGCAGCCAGCTACCGTTAAACTAACATTAATCCAAAACAGTAGCTAGGTTTGCGAAGTTGGCTAACTTACCATTTACTCCATATATGTTACACATACGAAAGCCATATATTAAATTTGGCAAAATTATGGTTTAAATTCCCTTTTCATCCAAAAAGCAATTCTTTGTTCCTATTCAGAGAAAGTGTAAACTTGTGCTGGCAGCTCACTCTCCCTCAAACAACGGCAACCGTAGCTTGGCTGGAACCCCAACCTAACGCTCTCGGCGTTGTCATTTCCTCCTGTTGACGGCAAGAGATGCTACTAACTAGTGAAAATGTACTTTATGTCACCCATGCATTCAACTGTAAAGGGTACCTACCGTCATTCCAAGAAAACAATAACAACCAACATAATTGAATCGATCAAAATGCTATTGAAAGCATTATTTTTTTTTTATCAAGACGTAATTACTCTCTCTGTCTGATAAATGATGTGCAACTACCGCCACCTAGCGATGTAAGCGAGCAAGCAACTGTAACCACTAACGTCCAGAAAAACAGAACAACGAAAAACATCGGAACAGCACCCCCCTGGCGGCTGATACAAATACTGCACACCCAACCAACTCCCGTCGGCTTCAGCGTCCTCCCTTTGATGAGCATCCTCCTCGGTGTCGGTTTTGAAGAGGTCCTCCCTTAGCTGCTCCCGTGTGTGTCTACATGACAGCCGCTTAGGTTCTCACGTACAGTCAAACAGAAAGGAACAACACCATGGCGAGAAACCGTAAAGACAGAGACAGCTGGGGTGAGTGGTTAATAATTATGAAGATGACTAAATTGGTCCTCTCTAGACGCACATAAAAATGGGTGCGCTATTTAGCCTATTTCATGTAGCCTAGGCTAGGGAAAGTCTCAGCAATGCAGCTGATCAGATGTTTGTGCGTTAATCATGATGAAGCAGTCGTTGCAATTTGCATGTTGTTGTCAGAACAAACCGTTATATCTATTGAATGCTCAACCGTCGCAAAAACGCTGGCCTGGACCAGACACAACCAAACCCCGTTCAGCTGCTCAACTAATATAAACACAAGCCAAGCATCTATTCTATTCTATTCTGTTCTATTCACTCTAGTCTACAGGCCAATGGATCGTCTGTCTGAGCATCCCCGCACCCTTTAGAATGATTATGGCACAGAATAACGAACGACAGCAATTCAAACACAATGCTAGAATTAACCAGTGTTAGCGAGATTTGATTTACAGGCCTAGGCCCTTACCGAAATAACTGTCAAGGCGGTGCCAAAGTGGGTATGGGTGGACTTGAGGCAAACAGATGGCATCATCCTGACCGTTACATTTCACTCTGCTACTGTATGTATGTCTCTGCTTTCTGATTGGTGTTCATCTCATATCTGTTTGATAAACACCAATTGTGCCATACCATTTGGGTCTGTTATCACATAGTAAAAATGAGCTTGCTAATGAACCATCATCGTTAGACATACTAAGAGTCATAGATATAGAAAGAATCCTGCTATATTGTCTATGCCAAAGAGCTGTCAGGCATTCAACATAATGTAGCCTATTATGATAGCTAGAATGACTGGTTTGGAAGCTACAGAGTGACATAGAATGCTCCCGAGTGGCGCAGTGGTCTAAGGCACTGCATCGCAGTGCTAGCTGTGCCACTAGAGATCCTGGTTCGAATCCAGGCTCTGTCGTTGCCGGCCGCGACCGGGAGACCCATGGGGCGGCGCGCACAATTGGCCCAGCGTCGTCCAGGGTAGGGGAGGGAATGGCCGGCAGGGGATGTAGCTCAGTTGGTAGAGCATGGCGTTTGCAACGCCAGGGTTGTGGGTTCGATAAAATAATGTATGCACTCACTAACTGTAAGTCGCTCTGGATAAGAGCGTCTGCTAAATGACTAAAATGTAAATGTAAAAATGAATGGTGTTGTTTATTACCAGAGAGAGTTGAGCAGCTATGAGCACTGACCCAGTACATTTACAGAGTAGACCCCTAGACCATACTCTGCTGATGTCTGAAGCTGCTCTGTAGCAGAAGTCAAGGAGCAGCTAGTCTGGAAGTTGGGGGTTGTGTCCCAAATTACACCCTATTCCCTATATAGTGCACTACTTTTGACCAGGTAATGCACTACATCATAGGGTGCCATTTGGGATGATACCTTGATGTGGCGATACCTGTTGTTTTAGGACAGGCATCATTGCTTTGCTTTGGCCTTTGTTAGTGAGAATAAATAAATGCACCAGTCCAGACCTGAGAAACATAGGAGGACAGGACTGTTTACATGATTAACTGTGTTCTGCACTCTGCATTCATTTTAATGCCCCAAAATGGTCTCTTCCTTTCCCTTAGTCAATGTTGTATTTAATGACTCTTGCCATGTTTGTTATTATGTCATCTTATACAAATAGAGCTTGGAGTGTTGTGGGCGATAAGATGTATAGGGATGTAGCTCAGTTGGTAGAGCATGGTGTTTGCAACGCCAGGGTTGTGGGTTCGATTCCCACGGGGGGGGGGGGGGGGGGGGGGGGGCAGTATGAAAAATAAAATAATGTATGCAACTGTAAGTGGCTCTGGATAAGAGCGTCTGCTAAATGACTAAAATGTAAATGTAAAATGTAAATATATCCTTTGGTTTTCTCTGAGAGAGATAGTAGGCGTTCTATCTGTCAACTCTTCTCTGTGTTAACAGCCTGCTAACGCAAGAGTTTACTTCAAGGGAAGAAAATGATTCAATGTTGTCTATTGCCAACCACACACACACCGATAAACAGACAGCCACCATATCGTCACTGTGTGCCCCTCTGTCTTTTCCCTGTGAGCAGACTAGCTAGGATTTTGTGGCCTACACAGCCATTAGGTCTCTGGAGACTGTGGAGAGGCAGACAGATTGCAGGCAGACTGAGTCACTGCTTGCCCGGAAAGGAAAGCAAAGCAAAGCTCTCTCTCTCTCTCTCTCTCTCTCTCTCTCTCTCTCTCTCTCTCTCTCTCTCTCTCTCTCTCTCTCTCTCTCTCTCTCTCTCTCTCTCTCTCTCTCTCTCTCTCTCTCTCTCTCTCTCTCTCTCTCTCTCTCTCTCTCAGCGGCAATCCTCTGTTCTGAAGTGAACCAATGCTTAACTTGAATCATTACTGGATTTAACATCTCGCTCAGCTACAGTATGGTGGAGTCCCAAATAACACCCTATTCCCTATATAGTGCACTACTTTTGACCAGGGCCCAGTCTATATAGGGAATAGGGTGCCATTTGGGACACAGTTTATGTGATGAGATGATACTGATCTGTTAACCACCGGGTAGATAGCTGGTTTTACATTTACATGTACATTTTAGTCATTTTAGCAGACGCTCTTATCCAGAGCCACTTACAGTTAGTGAGTGCATACATTTTTCATATGGTATTAACAAGCCTTTAACATTGCCTGTCATTTACTAAAAAGCTATTGAGATATCCATATTTTAATTAAAATTCATAGAAACTGTGTATATTTGTCTGTAAACTAGTCAATCATCCATTTTGTGTGCTTTGATGACATCATCCTCTTTGCAGCTTATTCCTCCTCCCTCTGGGTAATGGCGTAAAGTCTGTCTCCATTTCCCCTCTAACCCTGAGGAAGGTATTGGGTGCTGAAACGTTGGTTCCCTAATAAATCAGACGCACGTGAAAGCATTATGGGATGTGCAACATTCTTTAATTTGTACTCTTCCTCCCGTGTCACGTCACAGGGTCCTTCACAGACAAAGCCACCTACGACTGGAGCTCAGAGGAGGAGGAGCCTGATGGAAGGGCGCGGCCCATCCAGGTGCTTGTTGTCAAGGACGACCACACCTTTGAGCTGGACGAGGCGGCGCTGAGCCGGATCCTATTGGCCGAAGAGGTCCACAACAGGGAGGTGGTGGCCATATCTGTGGCCGGGGCGTTCCGCAAGGGAAAGTCCTTCCTCATGGACTTCATGCTGCGCTACATGTACAGCCAGGTGAGTTCAAAGGTCATGCTTGTGTAACCGATGGGGGATCGGTAACCTCACTCTCCTCAGCTTGAAATTTCTCCATCCACGCTGCGGAAATGCTAGCTTTTTTGGTGGCGCAGTTGGCTAAGATGTTAGGGAGGTCACTTGTGTTTGTGAGACAGAGGTCCAGAGATCCAGTCTCTGTGTGAGCTGGTGAGGAAGGAAGCGATACTGTTAAGTGACGCCTGTCACTCTTGGTTTTGTGTTCATATCTCTTGACCCGGCTACGACCCATCCCTCAGCATGTAAGAGACCATCTGTAATTAAACTTTGCATCAGTGTGCTGCATTGGGCATAATGTGATGATTGAGGTTATGATGTGTGTTACTGTTTTAAGGTTTTGTGACTAATAATAGCCAATAATTGGTCCAAGAAGCATTGATCTGTGTTGTATTTCTCTCTGTATCTAATCTATATCCCCAGGCGTCTGAGGAGTGGCTGGGGGAGGCAGAGGAGCCTCTGACAGGATTCTCCTGGAGGGGTGGATCTGAGAGGGAGACCACAGGCATTCAGATCTGGAGCGAAGTCTTTCTGGTGGACAAGCCAGATGGACGCAAGGTACCAGATCCTCACCTTTGACCTGTATTCACGGGACTGCGTCTCAAACGGCACCCTATTCCCTACATACAGTGCCTTCGGAAAGTATTCAGACCCCTTGACTTTTTCCACACTTTGTTACGTTACAGCCTTATTCTAAAATTGATGAAATAATCCTCAGCAATCGGCACACAATACCCCATAATGACACAGCGAAAATAGGTTTTTAGAAATTTTTGCAAATGTATAAAAAATGAAAACTCACATTTACATAAGTATTCAGACCCTTTGCTATGAGACTCGAAATTGAGCTCAGGTGCATCTCGTTTCCATTGATCATCCTTGAGATGTTTCTACAACATGATTGGAGTCCACCTGTGGTAGATTTCATTGATTGGAGATGATTTGGAAAGGCACACACCTGTCTATATAAGGTCCCACAGTTGACAGTGCATGTCAGAGCAAAACCCAAGCCATGAGGTTGAAGGAATTGTCCGTAGAGCTCAGAGACAGGATTGTGTCGAGGCACAGATCTGGGGAAGGGTACCAAAACATTTCTGCAGCATTGAAGGTCCCCATGAACACAGTGGCCTCCATCATTCTTAAATGGAAGAAGTTTGGAACCACCAAGACTCTTCCTAGAGCTGGCCGCCCGGCCAAACTGAGGAATCGGGGAAGAAGGGCCTTAGTCAGAGAGGTGACCAAGAACCCGATGGTCACTCTGACAGAGCTCCAGAGTTCCTCTGTGGAGATGGGAGAACCTTCCAGAAGGACAACCATCTCTGCAGCACTCCACCAATCAGGCCTTTATGGTAGAGTGGCCAGACGGAAACCACTCCTCAGTAAAAGGCACATGACAGCCCACTTGGAGTTTGCCAAAAGGCACCTAAAGACTTTCAGACCATGAGAAACAAGATTCTCTGGTCTGATGAAATCAAGATGAAACTATTTGGCCTGAATGTCAAGCGTCACGTCTGGAGGAAACCTGGCACCATCCCTACGGTGAAGCATGGTGGTGGCAGCATCATGCTGTGGGGATGTTTTTCAGCGGCAGGGACTGGGAGACTCGTCAGGATCGAGGCAAAGATGAACGGAGCAAAGTACAGAGAGATCCTTGATGAAAACCTGCTCCAGAGCGCTCAGGACCTCAGACTGGGGCGAAGGTTCACCTTCCAACAGGACAACGACCCTAAGCACACAGCCAAGACAACGCAGGAGTGGCTTCGGAAACAAGTCTCTGAATGTCCTTAAGTGGCCCAGCCAGAGCCCGGACTTGAACCCGATCAAATATCTCTGTGCAGCAACGCTCCCCATCCAACCTGACAGAGCTTGAGAGGATCTGCAGAGAAGAATGGGAGAAACTCCCCAAATACAGGTGCGCCAAGCTTGTAGCGTCATACTCAAGAAGACTTGAGGCTGTAATTGCTGCCAAAGGTGCTTCAACAAAGTACTGAGTAAAGGGTTTGAATGCTTATGTAAATGTGATATTTCATTTATTTTTTTATAAAATAGCAAATATATATATATATATATATATATATATATATATATATATATATATATATTTTAATTTTTTTTTAACTGTTTTTGCATTGTCATTATGGGGTATTGCGTGTAGATTGATGAGGGGGAAAAAACAATTTAATTAATTTTAGAATAAGGCTGTAACGTATCAAAATGTGGAAAAAGTCAAGGGGTCTGTATACTTTCCGAAGGCACTGTAGTGCACTACTTTTGACCAGAGCCCTATGGGTAGATTCGGTATGACGACCTCAGTTAGAGGCCCAATCTATGATATCTACAGACGTTTTTGATCATCGTAGTCAGGGATGGGCCCGCTCAGTGGAACTCAGTCGGGGTCTCAACTTACTGTTGAGAGTTATAATAGTAGAATACAGAAGGTGCCATTTATTTAATGGGGTTGTGTGCATCAGCAGTTTTTCTCTTGTTGTCAGTCACTGATCGGCACTTAATTAGCTCATGTCAGCTACATTTTTTAGATTGGTAAGTTAGTCTAGCGGCCAGCTATCTAAACCTGCAGTAATCATGCAAATATTTATCTCCGCCCCATTGCAAAATGTGTAGAATTGCAGAAAGCTTGGTCTAAAACTGCAACATTTTCTCTACGCCCCATGGCAAAATGTGTAGAATTGCAGGAAAATGAACTGTAAATCTTCAGTTTTGTCTCTCCTGTTAAACTGTAATAACATTAACACTGATGAATGAAGAGTTATGCTCTCCTGTCTCGTCCCTCAGGTGGCAGTTCTACTGATGGATACTCAGGGAACGTTTGACAGCCAGTCAACGTTGAGGGATTCAGCCACTGTGTTTGCACTAAGCACTATGATCAGCTCCATGCAGGTACAGTACAGTGGTTTTGGCCCTAACGACCCCGCTGTCTTAACAGGTACAGTGGCTTTGGCCCTAACGACCCCGCTGTCTTAACAGGTACAGTGGCTTTGGCCCTAACGACCCCGCTGTCTTAACAGGTACAGTGGCTTTGGCCCTAACGACCCCGCTGTCTTAACAGGTACAGTGGTTTTGGCCCTAACGACCCCGCTGTCTTAAACAGGTACAGTGGCTTTGGGCCCCCTACGACGCACAGACGACCCCCGTGTGTGTCTTAACAGGTACAGTGGCTTTGGCCCTAACGACCCCGCTGTTCTTAAAACAGGTACAGTGGTTTGGCCTAACGGCTGTTTACAGTACAGGGCTTTGGCCCTAACGACCCCGCTGTCTTAACAGGACAGTGGCTTTGGCCCTAACGACCCCGTGGCTTCTTATGGGACCCGCGTACCCCTTAACGCCCACCGAATCATTAACAGGTTATCCCAGCCTAACGCGCTGTCTTAAACAGGTGGTGTTGGGCCTACAGGGCTGTTTAAACCGGTGTCCCGTGGCTTTGGCCCTAACGACCCCGCGTCTTCTAACAGGGTACATCGTGGCTTTGGCCCTAACGACCCCGCTGTCTTAACAGGACAGTGGCTTTGGCCCTAACGACCCCGCTGTCTTAACAGGTACAGTGGCTTTGTGCCCTAACAGACCCCTTGGTCCCGCGCTGAGTAGTAACAGGTACATGTGGCTTTGGCCCCTAACGGACCCCGCTGTCTTAACAGGTACAGTGGCTTTGGCCCTAACGACCCCGCTGTCTTAACAGGTACAGTGGTTTTGGCTCCCGCTAAGACGACCCGGCTGTCTTAACAGGTACAGTGGTTTTGGCCCTAACAACCCCGCTGTCTTAACAGGTACAGTGGCTTTGGCCCTAACGACCCGGCTGTCTTAACAGGTACAGTGGCTTTGGCCCTAACGACCCCGCTGTCTTAACAGGTACAGTGGTTTTGGCCCTAACGACCCCGCTGTCTTAACAGGTACAGTGGCTTTGGCCCTAACGACCCCGCTGTCTTAACAGGTACAGTGGCTTTGGCCCTAACGACCCCGCTGTCTTAACAGGTACAGTGGCTTTGGCCCTAACGACCCCGCTGTCTTAACAGGTACGGTGGCTTTGGCCCTAACGACCCCGCTGTCTTAACAGGTACAGTTGGCTTTGGCCCTAACGACCCCGCTGTCTTAACAGGTACAGTGGCTTTGGCCCTAACGACCCCGCTGTCTTAACAGGTACAGTGGTTTTGGCCCTAACGACCCCGCTGTCTTAACAGGTACAGTGGCTTTGGCCCTAACGACCCCGCTGTCTTAACAGGTACAGTGGCTTTGGCCCTAACGACCCCACTGTCTTTGAACATAAATAATGACATTGCTTGGAGACCTTGACAATGGTAGACCTTCTGTGCCAAAACATGTTGGAGTAGAAAAGTGTTCTTGTTTCGCAGGTGTACAACATCTCCCAGAATGTGCAGGAGGATGATCTTCAACACTTGCAGGTAAGTAGACGGATTGATTACATCACCTACAGTATGACTGAGGTCTTTCACTGTGGAGACACTCAGATAGATGATGACTGTTTCTCTAAACATGATAAACAAATGCACTCTACTTTAAACTCCTGACCAATATAGAATATTTATGTCTTGTCCTGTCTCTTCGTGGCGTTTGTAGCTCTTCACTGAGTACGGCAGACTAGCCATGGAGGAGACGTTCCTACTAAACCATCAGGTAGGCACACGTCCTTTCTGTATTGACGTTTCAGGTGACATGCTGAGTTCTGGCCAATTGAGCCCCACTGGTTTGAACATATATCATTCTGGAAGGCCTTGACAAGGCTATCAGACCTTCTGTGCCAATGAGGTTGAGTCAGAGAATGCTGTTTACAGGTGTGACAAATCTCGAATGGCAGGGATGATTTCCAAACTGGTTAGAGGTGATTCAGTAGAACGGAATTGATTACATACCCAGAATGCTGTAAGAGGTTTCATTTCAATGTGGAAGACACTCAGATGTTAATGACGTTATTCAGAACAAAGGCATTTTTAAAATTCAGTCCCAAATGTTTTATGAGGTTGATGTCTTTCGTGGCGTTATGAGTGTCTTCCAACTGAGTTATGGCAGACTAGCCATGGAGAGGTGATTCCTTAACCAGTGCGGTTAAGGGACACGTTTCCGACTGTTGTTAATGAGGTTGTTCAGTTGACCATGACTGCGTTTAATGAGGTTGAGTCGTCCAGAGAGGCTGGTTTAACGAGGCTGATTCAGTTACCGAAGCTGGTTTAACAAGGCTGATCCAGTTTACCAGAATGCTGGTTTAATGAGGTTGATTCAGTTTACCAGAAGGCTGGTTTAATGAGGTTGATTCAGTTTACCAGAATGCTGGTTTAATGAGGTTGATTCAGTTTACCAGAATTCTGGTTTAATGAGGTTGATTCAGTTTACCAGAATGCTGGTTTAATGAGGTTGATTCAGTTTACCAGAATGCTGGTTTAATGAGGTTGATTCAGTTTACCAGAATGCTGGTTTAATGAGGCTGATTCAGTTTACCAGAAGGCTGGTTTAATGAGGCTTGATTCAGTTTACCAGAAGGCTGGTTTAATGAGGTTGATTCAGTTTACCAGAATGCTGGTTTAATGAGGCTGATTCAGTTTATCAGAAGACTGGTTTAACTCAAGCTGGTTTAACGAGGCTGATTCAGTTTACCAGAATGCTGGTTTAATGAGGTTGATTCAGTTTACCAGAATGCTGGTTTAATGAGGCTGATTCAGTTTACCAGAATGCTGGTTTAATGAGGTTGATTCAGTTTACCAGAATGCTGGTTTAATGAGGCTCATTCAGTTTACCAGAAGACTGGTTTAACTCAAGCTGGTTTAACGAGGCTGATTCAGTTTACCAGAAGACTGGTTTAACGAGGCTGATTCAGTTTACCAGAAGGCTGGTTTAAGTCCGACTGGTTTAATGAGGCTGATTCAGTTTACCAGAAGGCTGGTTTAACTCCGACTGGTTTAACAAGGCTGATTCAGTTTACCAGAAGGCTGGTTTAACTCAGACTGGTTTAATGAGGCTGATTCACCAGAGCAGGAACTATTTAGGTCCTATTTACTTTGGTAGCTTCTTGCTGTTAGAGACTTTCCTTGCTAATGGTTTGCCACTGCACCGTAACTTAGTGAACCCATGTCTGTATTGTTCCAGTCCATGATATTCCTGGTCCGGGACTGGAGTTTTCCCTACGAGTTTGGCTACGGACAGGAAGGAGGCATGAAGTTCCTGGAGAAGAGACTCAAGGTCAGAGGTCACAGATGAACAATGATTATAATGGTTCATATAAAGATGACAACAACAAGAAGAGTTATATTAACACAGTGTCGTTAATTGAAACCAAAAGGCTGCTATTTATGCGACATGATCATGTTAGATATAATAATAATACTAATAATAATACTAATATAAGAAGACACTTTAATCCAAACAAACATACAGATCCCTGTAATCCCCTGCGGGAATTGAACCCATGACCTTGGCAATTGGTAGCAGTACCCTGTTACCAACTGAGCGTGTGTCTGTGGTTCTGTGTTCTAGATCTCAGAGAACCAGCACGAGGAGCTGCAGAACGTTCGTAAACACATCCACTCCTGCTTCACCAATATCTCCTGCTTCCTGATGCCCCACCCCGGACTCAAAGTGGCCACCAACCCCAACTTCGACGGCAGACTCAAAGGTACAATACATATTTTGGCATCTTGGTGGTCTTAAAACAAATAATAATAATAATAATAAGCCATTTAGCAGACGCTTTTATCCAAAGCGACTTACAGACACACCTTGGGATGACAACAGACTAATCCCATTGATGAATTTAAAGCACACTCAAGTAAGATGTTCCTTTGATGAAATTTCATATGAATTCTGAAATTTTCACAGCATGACAAGAAGTGTGTTTTTGTATAGCCCTCCTCTTCAGCTAATGTTGCCTCTCCCTGACCTGTGTGCAGAGGGTCGCTGGTTCACGCCCAGCTCGAGGCAGGACCGGTTACATAACTACCCTACCATTCTCCTAATCTCACTTCTCCCTGACCTGTGTTTAGAGATCGACCGCGAGTTCGTCAACAACCTGCAGATCCTGGTCCCGTGGCTGCTGAGTCCCAAGAACCTGGATGTCAAGGAGATCAACGGCAGCAACATCACCTGCAGAGGCCTGCTGGAGTACTTCAAGGTCTGAGCCTTAGATTTTAGCCTGGTTTTCAGATCTGTTTGTGCTGTCTTGCCAAGTCCTATTGTTGTTGTCAGGAGTTAACAAGACGGCACAAACAGATCTGGCACCAGGCTACTTGAATTTGGTATGGTTAAACAATGTGCATCGAGGTACCAGTTTCAGTGTAGTGAATGCTTCAACCACCCAGTGAAAATAATGATATTGAAATGTTGTTAAGTAATGTTGGTGTTTGTAGATGACGATTCCCCCCCTCCCCCCCCCCTCCCCCCCCTCCCCCCCCCACCCCCACCCCCCCCAGGCATACATCAAAATCTACCAGGGGGAGGAGCTGCCACACCCAAAATCCATGTTGCAGGTACACAGTGTCTTGTGTTTATCTTTCTGCCGTCATTATAATGCATCACCTGATGAATATAACATGTGCTGTGTGTTGTTCCTCAGGCCACAGCAGAGGCCAACAACCTCGCGGCGGTGGCAGCAGCCAGGGACCTGTATAACAAGAAGATGGAGCAGGTGACAAAAGACAGAGCTGTGTTCTGTTACGGACCTATCCGGGCTTATCTCCAATTCTAATGCCTTCCTGAGACCTACTGTTGTGTCCCCCTGTACTGTAGTCATTCTCCTGAAGAGTGAATGCTCAATTTCACCCCCCCCCCTCCTCCTCCTCTTTCTCCTCCCCCTCTCCCCCCTCCATTCCTCCCCCTCTCTCCCCAGGTGTGTGGTGGGGACCGGCCCTTCCTGGCCCCAGCAGAGCTCCAGGCCAGACACAGTGACATCAGAGAGGAAGCCCTCCAGGTGTTCCGGGGGGTCAAGAAGATGGGAGGGGAGGAGTTCAGCCGACGCTACCTGCTACAGCTGGAGGGAGAGGTATGTCACAGGTGGGATCTGAACCCCCTGTCTCTCGCTCGGGAAACCAACCAGCTGGAGGGAGAGGTATGTCACAGGTGGGATCTGAACCCCCTGTCTCTCGCTCGGGAAACCAACGTGTTTCTTAACCATTAGCCCAATAAATTGGAAGTTGGGTGCTACCTGCGAGTCCAACTCACCTCCGATATAGTCACCCACCCTTTTTTTGCGGCATGTAATGACAACAACCTATCGGAATACATACAGTACCTATATAATGTCTACACACCCCCTTTAACTTTTTTTCATATTTTGTTGTCGGTGCCTCAGTGCATTTATAGAAGGATTTTCCTCACTTATCTACACACCATACTCTACACTTTAAAGGGGATTTTTGTTTTAATTGTGAAAAATTATATAAAAAATACAAAACTGAAATATCATAGTTGGAAAGGTCTGAGTTAATACTTGGTGGAAGCACCGTTGGCAGTAATTACAGCTGTGAGTCTGTTGGGATAGGTCTCCACCCCCCTCTGAGTTAATACTTGGTGGAAGCACCGTTGGCAGTAATTACATGCTGAAAGGTGAACTTCCATCCCAGTTTCAGCTTTCTTGCAGAGGGCAGCAGCTTTTCCTCAAGGACTTTTCTGTACATTGCTCCATTAATTTTCTGTTCTATCCTGATCAGAAACTTCTCCATAACGTGGTGCTGCCACCACCATGCTTCACAGTAGGGACGGTGATGTGCCATGTTGGGTTCGTGCCAAACGTAACGCTTTTGCATTTAGGCCAAAAAGTTCCGTTTTTGTTTCATCAGACCACAAATGGCTAAAGAATCTCCTGAGTATTTCTTTGCATCCCTCAAACAGGATTCCAGGTGGGCTTCCTTCTGGCCACGCTACTTTACATGGCAGGTTTATGGAGTGCTTGGGACATTGTTGTCACGTGCACACTTTGACCAGTCTTGGTCAATAAAAGCCTGTAGCTCTTTCAAAGTTGCCATTGGATTCTTGGTAGCCTCTCTGATCAGTCTCCTATATAAATACAATTAAATAAATTAAATAAAGACTACATATGTCGAGTCAATCGCGAAATTACCTTTAAATTAGAATTCTGCTGTAGTGCTCAAACTGACCCCCCCCCCCCCCCCTAAAATACATCTGTGTCTGGGACCCCCCCTCCCCTCCCCTCCCCTCCCCTCCTAAATACATATTTCTAGAGTAGCACTGTGGCAAATGGAACCGATCCCCAATAACCAACCCTGTTTCAGGTGGACGAGGTGTTCGTCCAGTACATCAAGCACAACGACTCCAAGAACATCTTCCACGCCGCACGTACCCCGGCCACGCTGTTCGTGGTCATCTTCATCATGTACGTGGCGGCGGGGATCACGGGCTTCGTGGGGGTCGACATCATCGCCAGCGTGTGTAATATGATTCTGGGGCTGACGCTGATCACCCTGTGTACCTGGGCCTACATCCGCTACTCTGGGGAGTACCGTGAGCTGGGGCAGGTCATCGACCAGGTGGCTGGAGCACTCTGGGACCAGGTAGGTGCTGTGTCCCAAATAGCACCTTATGCCAGGGCTACGGTGTCCATTTTAGGACATCCTCAGCCTCATACCTCACCCATCATTGAGTCAAATCTCACTCCTTCTTGAGGGGATTGACTCAAAGGAGGAAACGGAATGACTCAAGGAGGGGTGAGGTTTGAGGCTGAGGATGTCCTGAAATGGACACCGTACATGCGCTCTATTAAAATGTGTGTTATCATATAGATGTGTGTGCCATAAAGTGATTAAAGGTTTGAGGACTCCTAAACCACAGGGATCCTCACAGTTTTAACTAGTATATAAATACGTTATAGAGCATCTAAACCACTAGGTGGCGACATACAACACATTTTACTGTGTTGAACAAATCTGGGAATAATCACAACGTGTACGTCTTTTAGAGTTTGGGCTGAAGGAAACATTTCAAACATGTAAATATTCATACTACATTTGATTTATTTGATTATTTGTCTAAGACTGTTTTTGTTTTTCTCTATGTTTTGCAACAGGGAAGCACAAATGAGGTGAGTGGGGAGTTGTGTTCTCAGTCAGTCAGTGTAGTCCATAGAGATAGAAAGAGGACTCCAGATGGATATTACCAGTTTTTTTCCCCATAATAGCACAGATACAAAGATAAGTCCTCTTTCTTCTCCATCGCTATGGTGTACTGTATGTTTCAATACGTCTGTCTATCTTGAGCATTCCAATATTGGTTAGTCTGAAATGTACCCTCTTCCTCTCCTGTTGTTCACAGGTTCTGTATAAGGCTAAATGTTTCCTAGGAAGTACTGTTTCCTGTACAGAGCCATATTGCACACATTTAGAACCAACGATCTTGAGCATTCCGACATTTCTTTTTTTTAAATGCCCCCCCTCTTCTTGGCCAGATAGTTACGATCCCTCTTTCCTCTCCTCTCCTTTTCTCCAGGCGTTGTATAAGCTGTATAACGCTGCAGCCAATCACGGGCATCTGTACCACCACGCGTTCTCTGGTCCCCAGGCCCCCGGAGAGGAGGGGGAGGCCCCCGAGAAACCCACCAGGAAGAGGAACTGACTGGCTGACCTGATTTGGCTAGAGCACAGCAGGGACTGCTGGGTACCTCTTAAGTAGCATGATGGACAGAGAGGGGGGGGGGAGGCGGGGGAAGCAGGGAGGAGGCATCCTCACACCGCAGGGAACTCTTTTACTATGGTATTGGCTAGGACCGGTCCAGCGATGGGTTCACTATTTTAAATCTAAATGTGGACAATGTAAACGTCCCAGAGGCAGTGGCACAATCTCCCTTTGAACTGGGGTGCTGCCCCGTCAACAATGGGAATTTCACTTATCATTGTCCTTCACTTGGAGGACATAAGTGCAGTAGAGTTACTTATAGTTTACGGCTGATTTTTATTGTCTTACGTCAGATAGCGTGACGGATGGCCGGCTGCACTGGTAGTTGGCAACGCGGTCCCGTTGGAAGAACGACGCCATCTGTCGTAAGACAATGCTGCTGATTTCACGAATAGGAGTTTACCTGATTACGCCATTTGAGGAGTGGTTTAAATGAAAGTTGACCTCTGACCTGTAGCTGACTGGTGGTCCATGTATATTGATTGTCATGTTTGATAAAGTTTAGTGCTTTTTCTCGTAAGAAAAGTATAATACCATGTTTGAAAACCAATGGATGCATCCCAAATGGAACACTATTCCAGGGAATTATGGGATCATTTTGGTCGCTGCCAGCGTCTTTGCTTAAAATATACATGTTTTCATCAGCATGGTAAATCGTTCAGTGTCTACCATTTTAGTCTTGAGTCTGGTATATTTGTTAACATTTTGACATGTTTAGGGCTTGTACTTGTCCTGGCACTTTAAAGGAAAACTATATTTTGGTATTTGTTTCATTGGTACATTGTTGACATAGTCCAATGTTTTGCTTATCAGCAGTCAAGTTTTCAAGATGTGTAACTTTCAAAATACTGAAATCATCCCCCGTATGATGCATTTTGCATCATCATATGATGAAAAATTGCATCATACGGTGGGGATGATTTCTGATTTCATCATACGGGGATGATTTCTGATTTCATCATACGGTGGGGATGATTTCTGATTTCATCATACGTTGGGGATGATTTCTGATTTCATCATACAGGGATGATTTCTGATTTCATCATACGGGGGATGATTTAGTTTGTTTCTTTGTTTTTGAATATATAGGTACTGTGTGCCAGTTTCATGCAGCACTCGGTCTTCCTCCCTTAGTCTGTGGCTGCCACTAAGTTTACACGATGTCAGAGCGTCATACTGTGCACACAGAATTAATTAAATATAATAAAATATAGCTTATTGTATCTCTATGGTCACAAATTTAGACTGGAACAGAATTCACTGGCGGGAACGAGATAGTTACATTACATGTAGTGGAACTACTTCCCCCAACACGGAGAGTTAGTTATGGGACAGTTTAATAGACATGGACCAGAGTGTAGTTTGTGATTGGACCGAAGCACCTTCAACTAATAGAGGTAGAGAATTATTCTAAACAGTTCAAAAGTTCACACTATCTATTATATGTATCACTTCATACTGGTCTGCTTCCTGCTCAGTTTGTTAAATAAATGCACTTCAAAACAGAAATGATGATCCTTTGAACTGGCGTGGCCTTTTGTGGGTGAGGGCTGGCTGGGGAAAATAGATGTTAGTCCATTGGACAGAAGAGAAAAGAGTGAGACCATTTGTTGTTGGTACACATTGAACGTTCTAGCAAAGCACTGGAACATTCAGAATCAGTTCTAGAATGAGTTCTAGAACAACTGTGCTGGTCATTAATCTAGGAAGCCTAGTTATGAAATATCTTCATAGATTCCCCCCCCCCCCCCCCTCTTACTAACCTGGTTTGTGCGGTCTTGCCAACTCCTGTGGTCCTTGTCACGCAACTGTGAACCATAGTAGTTGGCATGACAGCACAAACAGATCTGGGAGCAGGCTATGGTTGGGAAAGATCTTCATATATCTCTCCTCTGTACTTATTTAGGCTATTTGTCTGGACCACTGCATGCTAAAGAAAAAGGGGTATACTACAAAGCAGGATCAATAATAATAATAATAATAGTATGCCATTTAGCAGATGCTTTTATCCAATTTTTACGTATGGGTGGTCCCGGGGATCGAACCCACTACCTTGGCGTTACAAGCGCCGTGCTCTACCAGCTGAGCTACAGAGGACCACAATGAATTAGCCAGCTAACTTTGATAAACCAGAAATAGCTGTTGATTTTCTGATTCATTAAAAGAGATTCTCCAGTACTTTTGTATACTTTATAGCCAGTAGTTCTGAAAGTAGTGAAAATTGAATACTATGTCACATACATACACATCACGTCATTGCCCTCTCTCTCTCTCTCTCTCTCTCTCGCTGCGTCCACTGAGCCGTCGGGCCGCCCCTGCATCCTCATTGGATAACTCTGGGCAGGCCTCTTGCTAGCTGTCACTCAAATGCGAGGGGCTCATTGGCTAGAACTCTTAATTGCTATGGGGCGGGCCCAAGTGGGGGGGAAGTGTAGGGAAAATGTCACGGCACAGCTTCAAGAAAAGTTGCTTTCAAACTAGGGATTTTGTGGCTAATTCAGCTAAGACAGTAATTCTGCATGTATACATATACTTATTTTTTTTTTTTTTGGGGGGGGGGGTCATTTAGCAGACGCTCTTATCCAGAACAACTTACATGAGCAATTAGGGTTAAGTGCCTTGCTCAAGGTCAGTTTTTAATGAAATGGGAGAAAATCTCTGTCTGATCTTCAATATCTAAAGGAGAACGTCACGTGTCCTGCACGTCTGGGTCGTGTTCATTAGGAACCAAACGGAAGAAAACCGATTGAAACAGGGACTGGGAGGCTACACTCTAAATATGAAACGCTCATTTTTGCTTTTCATTGCAAAATGTTTTACTACGGTGTTCCCTACTCAACACCCCGGTATTGACTTGTTAAAAAACTAACCGACATTGGTCAGGTTTAGTACGTTTCTGCCAGAATGGTGTTACAAACAAATATGAAACCAGAATCCAAAGATCTCAAAACTAATTTAAATAATTTATTGATAGTTGCTTTTTCAAAAGACAATAGTTACAATTACAGATGAATGAAATAAAATGAATGTACATAAGAGGATTGTGTATTACTTGGAGTGCATAGTTTGGGGTTTAGAATGAAAAACAGGCATCCATTGGAGGAAAAAGAAGTGACTAGCTGTTTAGTCCTGCCCTCCTTTACAGGCTTGAGAAAATAGTTGTTTTCGCAGCAGACTATTAATTTTGTCCTGCATCTGCACTCCATGAGGATAAGGATCAACTGTATGATGACATCATTCTGAACAGATGGGTTGTAGCTAGCAGTATGATGACATCATTCTGAACAGATGGGTTGTAGCTAGCAGTATGACATCATTCTGAACAGATGGGTTGTAGCTAGCAGTATGATGACATTCTGAACAGATGGGTTGTAGCTAGCAGTATGATGACATTCTGAACAGATGGGTTGTAGCTAGCAGTATGACATTCTGTACAGATGGGTTGTAGCTAGCAGTATGATGACATTCTGAACAGATGGGTTGTAGCTAGCAGTATGATGACATTCTGAACAGATGGGTTGTAGCTAGCAGTATGATGATGTCATTCTGAACAGATGGGTTGTAGCTAGCAGTAGGATGATGACACATTCTGGAACAGATGGTGTGTAGCTAGCAGTATGATGACATCATTCTGAACAGATGGGTTGTAGCTAGCAGTATGATGACATCATTCTGAACAGATGGGTTGTAGCTAGCAGTATTGACATTCTAAAACGATGGGTTTTGTAGCTAGCAGTATGATGACATCATTCTGAACAGATGGGTTGTAGCTACCCAGTATGAACATTCTGAACAGATGGGTTGTAGCTAGCTGTATGATGACATTTCTGAACAGATGGGTTGTAGCTAGCAGTTATGATGACATCTAAAAGATGGGTTGTAGCTAGCAGTATGATGACATTCTGAACAGTGGGTTGTACTAGCAGTATGACATCTTTCTGAACAGATGGGTTGTAGCTAGCAGATGATGACATTCTGAACAGATGGGTGTAGTAGCAGTAAAATGAGACATTCTGAACAGATGGGTTGTAGCTAGCAGTATGATGACATTCTGAACAGATGGGTTGTAGCTAGCAGTATGATGACATCATTCTGAACAGATGGGTTGTAGCTAGCAGTATGACATCATTCTGAACAGATGGGTTGTAGCTAGCAGTATGATGACATTCTGAACAGATGGGTTTGTAGCTAGCAGTATGATGACATTCTGAACAGATGGGTTGTAGCTAGCAGTATGACATTCTGAACAGATGGGTTGTAGCTAGCAGTATGATGACAATCATTCTGAACAGATGGGTTGTAGCTAGCAGTATGATGACATTCTGAACAGATGGGTTGTAGCTAGCAGTATGATGACATTCTGAACAGATGGGTTGTAGCTAGCAGTATGACATCATTCTGAACAGATGGGTTGTAGCTAGCAGTATGACATCATTCTGAACAGATGGGTTGTAGCTAGCGGTATGACGACATCATTCTGAACAGATGGGTTGTAGCTAGCAGTATGATGACGTCATTCTGAACAGATGGGTTGTAGCTAGCAGTATGATGACATCATTCTGAACAGATGGGTTGTAGCTAGCAGTATGACATTCTGAACAGATGGGTTGTAGCTAGCTGTATGATGACATTCTGAACAGATGGGTTGTAGCTAGCAGTATGATGACATTCTGAAAAGATGGGTTGTAGCTAGCAGTATGATGACATTCTGAACAGATGGGTTGTAGCTAGCAGTATGACATCATTCTGAACAGATGGGTTGTAGCTAGCAGTATGATGACATTCTGAACAGATGGGTTGTAGCTAGCAGTATGATGACATTCTGAACAGATGGGTTGTAGCTAGCAGTATGACATTCTGAACAGATGGGTTGTAGCTAGCAGTATGATGACATCATTCTGAACAGATGGGTTGTAGCTAGCAGTATGATGACATTCTGAACAGATGGGTTGTAGCTAGCAGTATGATGACATTCTGAACAGATGGGTTGTAGCTAGCAGTATGACATCATTCTGAACAGATGGGTTGTAGCTAGCAGTATGACATCATTCTGAACAGATGGGTTGTAGCTAGCGGTATGACGACATCATTCTGAACAGATGGGTTGTAGCTAGCAGTATGATGACGTCATTCTGAACAGATGGGTTGTAGCTAGCAGTATGATGACATCATTCTGAACAGATGGGTTGTAGCTAGCAGTATGATGACATCATTCTGAACAGATGGGTTGTAGCTAGCGGTTCTTGCATAGCTTAGTAGCTGTGGTCTCGCCCAGAACAGAACTAAGAGACAATGTCACTATCACTCCATTTCAACACAAGGCATTACAAAAGCCACATCCAGAAAATAACCAGTTATCAGAGGCTGTGTCCCAAATAGCACCCTATTCCCTACATAGTGCACTACGTTTGACCAGAGCCCACAGTCAAGAGTAGTACGCTATATAGGGAGCCATTTGGGACGTCCGCAGAGTACATTCGCATACAGAAGAGCAACAGGAAACGCACTTCAGTTGTTTGTTTTGGCAAAGCTAAGGCATCTTGGGACATCTGAACCATTAGTGTTATATAGGCTAGTGTCCCAAATAGCATCCTATCCCCTGTAATCAGTGTTTCCCCAACCCTGGTCCTCCATCACCCTGGACAAGCACACCTCACTCAACTCATTGAGGGCTTGATGATTAGTCGACTAGTTGAAATCAGGTGTTACAATAAAAATGTGTACTGTTGGAGGTGATGGAGGACCAGGGTTGGGAAACACCGCCCTTAATAGTACACTACTTTTGACCAGGGCTCATGGGGAAATAGTGTGTCACTTGGGTGGACGACAGATGTTTCCAGAAGCTTATGTATCTTTATTTACACGTCATATTATAATAAGGATATTGTGATTAATTAATTATTCATGATGCACAGAGCCAAGTCCCTGAAATGCGATGCTGTAGTGTATCCTACTATAAAGACCTGTTCCATATCAAAACTTCGACTCTTGTGCGAGACAAATTATACGTTTCGGAGGATTGTCTTATAAAGTATTGATGACAATAACAACACATCACACTTGTTGTTGAAAAGTTAAATAATATCCTTTCAGTTTTAGGGGCGGGCTACAAATACAACGATCACAAAAACATTTTATGAAGCAGAATTAAAATGTGGAAACAGGAGTTTCATAAAGTGATGCAGCTGATCCTTCTCTCCCTAAGTGGAAAAATCTTTGAATAATTTTACAAAGCAAAAAAAAAAAAAGAAAAGGCAAGTGTTGCCTCTGATGAAAAGGCACAATCTTATTCTAGTCATTTATGGACATTCAAACAAACAGGTCCGTCAGACCCTGTAATCCTCCTGTCTTTAGAAAACAAAGCCAGAGGGCGGAGCTTCCCTAATGTAGAAACCTCAAAAGGGGTGGAGCTCCCAAGTGTAGAAACCTCAGTGGATGAGGCCAAAACCTCAAAAGGGGTGGAGCTCTTTGCTGTCTGACCCTCACAGGAGGGGGGGGTGGGGCTAAGGGGTGGAGCTCCCAAGGGTAGAAACCTCAGTGGACGAGGCCAAAACCTCAGAGGGGTAGAGCTCCATATTGTAGTAACCTCAGAGGGGCGTTGTAGCCAGGCACAGGGGCGGAGCTTCCTTACCATTGTAACCTCAGAGGTGTGGGACAACGGTTCACCCGGGCTGAACTTCTTATGAATAGTGTAGAATGAGAGTCCTTGAAGTCCCAGATCCAGCTAGCCACAGGGTCCATTCCTCCGTCCAGTCCAGTCAGTTCAGGGTCGTATTCACTAGTGCACACCGTAGCAAACTGTTTAGCAACAACAACTGGTTTATTATTGGACAAATTCAGGTAGGTACCTCCTTTTTTTTTTTGTCCCATTTGCTTCCTAGTGAATACGACCCAGTTCACATGTTCCCTGTGAAGTTCTTGCCCGGCTGCTGCTGGGCCTGAGCGGACCACTGCTGCCTCTGTTTCCTGTGGTCCACCTCCGAGAGCAGGGCCTGGCGGTAGGCCTCGTAGGACTTGACGATACGCTCCAGCTCCTTCATGAAGAGCAGCTTCAGCATGCCCTGGTACGTGTCCAGATCCACCAGCTGGAACAGCTCCCATTTCAGGATGTGGTCATACCTGGTGGAAGACAGAGGTGAAATGCCTGAACATCCTGTCTACCTCCTCACTGTCCACTCCACCACCGTGGCACATCCTGTCTACCTCCTCACTGTCCACTCCACCACCGTGGCACATCCTGTCTACCTCCTCACTGTCCACACTCCACCACCGTGGCACATCCTGTCTACCTCCTCACTGTCCACACTCCACCACCGTGGCACATCCTGTCTACCTCCTCACTGTCCACACTCCACCACCGTGGCACATCCTGTCTACCTGAACATTCTGTCTACCTCCTCACCGTCCATATCCTCACAGGGCAGTTCTGAATGGTTGTAATCATAATAATACATAGGATTTGGATAGTGCTCGTCTAAAAACACAAAGACCCTTTACAATAATGCAGCAATAGTAAACGCCCTTTACAATAATGCAGCAATAGTAAACGCCCTTTACAATAATGCAGCAATAGTAAACGCCCTTTACAATAATGCAGCAATAGTAAACGCCCTTTACAATAATGCAGCAATAGTAAACGCCCTTTACAATAATGCAGCAATAGTAAACGCCCTTTACAATAATGCAGCAATAGTAAACGCCCTTTACAATAATGCAGCAATAGTAAACGCCCTTTACAATAATGCAGCAATAGTAAACGCCCTTTACAATAATGCAGCAATAGTAAACGCCCTTTACAATAATGCAGCAATAGTAAACGCCCTTTACAATAATGCAGCAATAGTAAACGCCCTTTACAATAATGCAGCAATGGTAAAAGGTAACAAGAACAACCTCTAATCTAGCAATCACAAAATCAATAAACACTATACCTTTTTAAGTTAAGCTATTTCAAGATATTTAATCTATGAAAGCTCTTTAGTTATGAGGAAGTGTCCCGAGAACAGCACAGGACCCCAGGGTTCCCCCCCACTGCCTCAGCCAGGGAAACAAGCACTGGGGTAAATCCCCCCCCACAGATATGTGGAGGAAAGCCAGCTGCATGTTACTCACTTGAGCGGGGCGCGGGCATACACCTGTAGCCAGTCTGGGATCTCTGCAGTGTGGTATGGGTTGGCTGGCACCAGCACTGGATGGTTCCTCTCTGCGGGGCGAGGCTGGTATACAACCGGAGGGGGCTGGTCATAGCGGGGTATGCTGGACCAGGAGGAAGGGGGTTGGACAGTGAGTATGGACAGAGGGTTAGGAGTCAAGTTATGATATCAAAAACAAATGCTTGGTAAAAAAAAAAAAAAGGAAAGAGAAGTCTGCATTTCCTCACTTTTTTTAAAAACGATACGAAGATGTGGTGTGTATCAGTACGACTCTAAAAGCCTACCTAGGGGCACAGGGGTGTCTATACTGCGCCCGCTTGTTGATGTGGTCCACGTAGTAAGTCCCAAACTCAGCCGACTCCACCTTCTCCCAGCCAGGGGGCAGACCCTCTCTCTCCAGGGGGTGGGACCAGTGGGTGGTGTTGGTGTTGTGGTCGATGTAGTACTTCCTGCCTCGGATGGTCCAGTCTACCGTCCAACCACGGGGCAGCGGGAGGTCCTCACCGCTCGGACTGGACAGGTTCCCCAGAGACTTGGCCTGCATCCGACCGATACCTGGGGACCAGGAGAGGAGACGAGAGGAAGAGGAGAGAGGAAGAGGAGAACAGTCAGGCTGTGTCCCACTCCCAAATGGCACCCTATTCCCTAGGATGTGTGTCCCCCTCCCAAATGGCACCCTATTCCCTAGAGCAGGGTTTCCCAAACTCAGTCCTGGGGCCCCACCACTTTGTGCCCATTTTGGTTTTTTGCCCTAGCACTACACAGCCGATTAAAATAACCAACTCATCATCAAGCTTGGATTATTTGAAATCAGCTGTGTAGTGCTAAAATTCTAATAGTTTGCCTCATTTCAGTTTGTGACAAAACAAACAAGCGTAATGTGTAATGAATCATTGTACCATCTAACCCGATGGGAAATATATTTTCCATAACCAAAACCATTGGATTTTCAGCTGGTGTACAAAACCAAAAGTAAAAAGATGCAAAAATGAAACTTGACAACGGGAAGCATAGAAATAGCGCACATAGAACAGATCTACCGCCTCTTAGACATGCTTCCAATCAGAATGACAGATCTATAACACACATTTCTCTCTCTATAGATATACTGCTCCTTAGACTTGCTTCCAATCAGAATGACAGATCTATAACACACATTTCTCTCTCTATAGATATACTGCTCCTTAGACATGCTTCCAATCAGAATGACAGATCTATAACACACATTTCTCTCTCTATAGATATACTGCTCCTTAGACTTGCTTCCAATCAGAATGACAGATCTATAACACACATTTCTCTCTCTATAGATATACTGCTCCTTAGACAGGCTTCCAATGACAAGTACTATAACCACACATTTCTATGGGAATTGTCAGGTTACCCAAAAAGGTACATATTGCAGCTTTAAATGCATACTTTTAAATTATATGTGAGGATAAAATATATATATATATATATATATAAAAGTGTAATTTTAAATAAATAATAAAATGTTACTGTCCCCACTACAACAAAAATACTTACACATTTTATTTTGTCCTTTAACATTTAATTGAAATACTGTAGAATTCCATTCATTCCTATGGAGGACTGCTCCTTCGAAGCATCAGCAATCCAGGGTTTATATAAATCATTGGTTGGGTCCTTTAAAACATGGACATGATATAAAATTCAATTTTACAGTTAGGCTCAAATGAGAACCGTAGCAGCAAAAATAGAGAGCAGAAAATGCCTGCACATTGGCAGCTGGAACCGGATCAATTCTGCTTGGGACTGATGGGACGGCAACAGGATTGGTGCTGTTAGCCAGCTGGTGAGCAAAGGACTGGAATGTGCGTTCCACTGAAAAACACTCCTCCTCACAAAGACACAGGGGAAGCATTGGTTCAGTCTGTTACAGAGCATTGTCTGAGAGGAGAAATTAACTGGGATAACTGGTAACCACCAACGTTTCAATCTACACTGGTAACAGCGTTCTCCACAAGTACCTGGAGTAGCCAGCCAGATAGAAAAAGTAGCCAGCCTGGCCTTCGAAAATATTTTGCCGAACTACCTAGATTTGTGGCGGCCTCTGGTACATTTTAACGCCTCGGTTCCATCCGAAATTTCACAGCGAAATGATTGAATACTTTATCAGATTTACCTCCCAGATTGGAAACATTAGTTGTGGTATTGTGTGTAGAAGGACATGACTTAACAATTGAAATGACTGAAAATGTATGACTTCAGTGTATTGTTAGTTGTTTTGGATATTGTCTAGTTCCAGGCCTATAATCAGGGCTATTTTCTAAGTAAAAGAACATTAAACCTTTAACCCGTCTCTTCTTGAGATCAAAGTCTTATTTACAGTTTTACTGCAAGATATGAATTGCTACAATAAATGTTTGTTCTTCAAATTATGTATTTTATTAAAACTGAAAATTATTGAAATAGACCACTGCCCAAATTAACTTGGTAAATACACTACCGGTCAAACGTTTTAGAACACCTACTCATTCAAGGGTTTTTCTCAATTTTTACTATTTTCTACATTGTAGAATAATAGAGAAGACATCAAAACTATGAAATAACACATATGGAATCATGTAGTAACCAAAAAAGTGTTAAACAAATGTAAATATATTTTATATTTGAGATTCTACAAATAGTCATCCTTTGCCTTGATGACAGCTTTGCACACTCTTGGCATTCTCTCAACCAGCTTCACCTGGAATGCTTTTCCAACAGTCTTGAAGGAGTTCCCACATATGCTGAGCACTTGTTGGCTGCTTTTCCTTCACTCTGCGGTCCAAATCATCCCAAACCATCTCAATTGGGTTGAGGTCGGGGGATTGTGGAGGCCAGGTCATCTGATGCAGCACTCCATCACTCTCCTTCTTGGTAAAATAGCCCTTACACAGTCTGGAGGTGTGTTGGGTCATTGTCCTGTTGAAAAACAAATGATAGTCCCACTAAGCCCAAACCAGATGGGATGGCGTATCACTGCAGAATGCTGTGGTAGCCATGCTGGTTAAGTGTGCCTTGAATTCTAAACAATTCACAGTTAGTGTCACCAGCAAAGCACCCTCACACCATAACACCTCCTCCTCCATGCTTTACGGTGGGAAATACACATGCAGAGATCATCCGTTCACCCACACCACTTCTCACAAAGACACGGTGGTTGGAACCAAAAATCTCCAATTTTGACTCCAAAATGTCCATTGCTCGTGTTTCTTGGCCCAAGCAAGTCTCTTCTTCTTATTGGTGTCCTTTAGTAGTGGTTTCTTTGCAGCAATTTGACTATGAAGGCCTGATTCACACAGTCTCTTCTGAACAACTGATGTTGAGATGTGTCTGTTACTTGAACTCTGTGAAGCATTTATTTGGGCTGCAATTTCTGAGGCTGGTAACTCTACTGAACTTAACTTCTGCAGCAGAGGTAACTCTGGGTCTTCCATTCCAGTGGCTGTCCTCATGAGAGCCAGTTTCATCATAGCACTTGATGGTTTTTGCGACTGCACTTGAAGAAACTTTCAAAGGTTGACTGACCATGTCTTAAAGTAATGGACTGTTGTTTCTCTTTACTTATTGGAGTTGCCTCATGGAATACGCTGTCATACACGTCGATCCAGAGCATCCCAAACATGCTCAATGGGTGACATGTCTGGTGAGTACAGTGGCTTGCGAAAATATTCACCCCCCTTGGCAGTATTCCTATTTTGTTGCCTTACAACCGGGAATTAAAATGGGGGTTTGTATCAATTGATTTACACAACATGCCTTCCACTTTGAAGATGCAAAATATTTTTGATTGTGAAACAAACAAGAAATAAGACAAAAAAACAGAAAACTTGAGCGTGCATAACTATTCACCCCCCCCAAAGTCAATACTTTGTAGAGCCACCTTTTGCACCAATTACAGCTGCAAGTCTCTTGGGGTTGTCTCTATAAGCTTGGCACATCTAGCCACTGGGAATTTTGCCCATTCTTCAAGGCAAAACTGCTCCAGCTCCTTCAAGTTGGATGGGTTCCGCTGGTGTACAGCAATCTTTAAGTCATACCACAGATTCTCAATTGGATTGAGCTCTGGGCTTTGACTAGGCCATTCCAAGACATTTAAATGTTTTCCCTTAAACCACTCGAGTGTTGCTTTAGCAGTATGCTTAGGGTCATTGTCCTACTTGAAGGTGAACCTCCGTCCCAGTCTCAAATCTCTGGAAGACAAACAGGTTTCCCTCAAGAATTCCCCTTTATTTAGCGCCATCCATCATTCCTTCAATTCTGACCAGTTTCCCAGTCCCTGCCAATGAAAAATATCCCCACAGCATTATCCGGCCATATATATATATATATATATTACTTTTTACCCCTTTTTCTCCCCAATTTCATGCTATCCAATTGTTACAGTCTTGTTCCATCGCTGCAACTCCCGTATATACTCGGGAGAGGCGAAGGTCGAGAGCCACGCGTCCTCTGAAACACGACCCTGCCAAGCCGCACTGCTTCTTGAAACACGGCTCGCTTAACCCGGAAGCCAGCCGCACCAATGTGTCGGAGGAAACACTGTACAACTGGCGACAGTGTCAGCGTGCATGCGCCCGGCCCGCCACAGGAGTCGCTAGAGCGCGATGGGACAAGGACATCCCGGCAGGCCAAACCCTCCCCTATCCCAGACGACGCTGGGCCAATTGTGCGCCGCCTCATGGTCTCCCGGTCACGGCCGGCTGCGACACAGCCCGGGATCGAACCCGGATCTGTAGTGACGCCTCCAGCACCTCAGTTTATATTTTTGTTCAGTGTAGTTACTCCACGATACTAACCTAATTGACAAAGTAAAATGAAGGAAGCCTGTACAGAATACAAATATTCCAAAACATGCATACTGTTTGCAACAAGGCACTAAAGTAATACTGGCAAAAATGTGGCAAAGCAATTAACATTTTGTCCTGAAAACAACGTGTTATTGGATTTGCCCCAAACATACAACGTATTGTCGAGTACCAATCTTCATATTTTCAAGCAGTTGTGGCTGCATCATGTTATGGGTATGCTTGTAATAGCTAAGGACTAGGGAGTTTTTCAGGATGGACGCGGAACGGAGCTAAGCACAGGCAAAATCCTAGAGGAAAACCTGGTTCAGTCTGCCAAATCTACACTGGAGTTGCTTACCACGAAGACAGTGAACATTCCCAAGCGGGCGAGTTACAGTTTTGACTTAAATCTACTTGAAAATCTATGGCAAGACCTGAATATGGTTGTCTAGCAATGATCAACAACCAAAATAGACAGAGCTTGAAGAATTTTGTAAATAATAAAAAAAAACGGGAAAATGTTGCACAACCTAGGTTTGGAAAATTCTTAGAGACTTACCCAGGAAAGACTCACAGTTGTAATCGCTGCCAAAGGTGCTTCTACAAAGTATTGACTCAGTAGTGTGAATACTTATGTAAATGAGATATATGCATTTAATTTTAAATAAATATGCTTACATTCCTAAAAAAAGATTCACTGTCATTGTGTGTAGATGGGTGAGAAAAATATAAACTTAAGGCTGTAACAAAATGTGGAAT